ATAAATATTGAGTGGGGCAAGTTCTTAATGATAGAAGTATGGCACTGAAGAAGACAGAAAAAAATATTTGCCCATGCTCTAGTTGGCAGAAATAGACATTAAGTAAAATAACCAAATTATACAGTATTTTAGAACTGGACGTTTAAGTGAAGGGAGTTAAAAAGTAGAAGGGAAATAAGGAAATAAGTAGAAAGTATATGACTGTATTTTAAATAGGGTGGTTAAAGTAGGCCTTTAACCTCCTTTAAACTAAGAAGGTGAAATTTGAGCTGAAGCTTATGTAGCTAATTGGCATGCCAGAGTTTCTTGAGGATTGTAATTTGCATTATCTTTGCTTTATAAAATTCATTTACAAAAAGATGTATCAGATGGTTACTTTAAAATAAGGTGTTTGGGGGGAAAGAATACCCTCTTCAAAAAATGATGCAGATAACTGGATAAACACAGGCAAAAGAATAAAGTTGGATCACTGTTGTACTGCATACCCAAAGATTGACTCAAAATGAATCAATGACCTAAATATAAGAGCTAAAACCACAAACTCTTAGAAGAAAACATAGTCATAAATCTTCATGGCCTTGGATTTGGCAATGCATTTTTGGATTTGACAATAAAAGCATGATAGAAAAAGAAAAACATAGCTAAATTGGACTTCATAAAAATTAAAAACTTCTGCGCATCAAAGAACATTATCAAGAATGTAAAAAAACAACCTACAGAATGAGGGACAGTATTTGCAAACCAAGTATCTTTTAGGGGGTTAATATCCTGAGTATATAAATAACTCTTAAAACCCAACAACAAAAAGACCATCAAATTAACAAATGGGCAAAGAACATAAATAGACATTTCTCCAAAAAATATATAAGGATGGCCAATAAGCATATGAAAGGATGCTCAACCTCACTGATCATTAAGGAAATGCAAATCACAACCACAATAAGTTACCTCTTCAGACTCAGTAGGATCGCTTAAAAATTAAAATAACAAAAGATAAATAACAAGTGTTGGTTGGAATGTAGAGAAATCAGCCTCAAGTGATCTGCCTGCCTGGGTCTTTCAAAGTGCTGGGGTTACAGACTATGTCAGGCCCCAGGCATTCCTTTCTATTGATAATAACTCTTTAAAACAAATTCCCAATCAGAAAAATTTTAAAGCTACCTATGACCTGGAAGTGCCTCCACCCTTTGAGTTGTTCTGCCCTTCCATATGGAGCCAATGTATATTTTACATGTATGATTGATGTCTCATTTCTCCCTAAAATGTACAAAAGCAAGCTGTACCCCTACCACACAGGGCACTTGTAGTCAGGACCTCCTGAGGCTGTGTCACAGGTGTGTCCTTAACCTTGGCAAAATAAACTTTCAAAATTGGCTGAGACCAGTCTCAGACATTTTGGGTTCACATTCCTTTTATATTCCATACCCAAAATAGGTAAATTCATAGAGACAGAAAGCAGATTAGAGGTTATCAGGGGATGGAGGGGGAAAGCTGAGAGTGATTATTTAATGAGTAAGGAGGTGTTTTATGGGGTAATAAAGTTTTGAAACTAGAAAGTGCTGGCAGTTGTATAACATTGTAAATATACTAAGTGCCACTAAATTGTACACTTTAAAATAGTTAATTGTATTTACATAACTTTCACCTTAATTTTTTAAAAGGTGTTTTAATCATTCAAATGTTTTTCTTTCAGTTTCCAGATCGCCCTTATATTTTGTGTTTAAATTTCAGTGGTGTATTCATTCTAGCCTTTTACCTATTTATAACATTTAATAATTTTTTTATACTTTATTGAGATAAAGTTTCCATACAACAAATTCACTGATTTTAAGTGTATATTTTGGTGAATTTTGATAAATTCATATAGTTCAGCAACACTACCACAATCATATTTTAAAAAGCATAAAACACCTCAAAAAGTTATTTTAAGTTACAGTCAACCTCCAATCCCACATTTTCTGTCATTATAATTATGCCTTTTTTAGAATTTCACATTAGTGGAGTCATATAGTGTATTTAGTTTGTTTTCATGCTTCTATGAAGAAATACTCAAGACTTGGTAATTTATAAAGAAAACAGTTTTAATTGACTCACAGTTCTGCATGGCTGGGGAGGCCTCAGGAAACTTACAATCATGGTGAAAGGTTCACCAAGAGGAAGTAGGGATCCTGTGCGGCAGGACAGACAATGAGTGTTGAGCAAAGGGATAAAAGCCCCTTGTAAAACCATCAGATCTTGTGAGAATTCACTCACTATCACAAGAGCAGCATGGCGGTAACTGCCCCCATGAGTCAATTAGGTCTCACAGCGTCCCTCCCATGACATGTGGGGATTATGGGAACTACAATTCAAGATGAGATTTGGGGGGTACGCAGCCAAACCATATCATTTAGCATCCAGTCTTACATGTCTGGCTTCTTTCACTTAGCACCATGTTCATCCATGTCCACCCACATTTTTTGATGTATTCATAGTCTGTTCCTTGCAATTTCTGAATAATTTATCCCATTGAGTTTGTCCATTTGCAGGTTAGGTCATTAGATATTTCCCAATTTTTCTGCTATTATAAATAAAGCTGTATGAATATTCAGAGATAAGACATTCATGTGGCATGTTTTCATTTCTTTACAGTAGGTGCAGATGGGTAGAGCTGCTTAATTTTATGTTTAACTTTTTAAGAAACTGCCAAATTTTTCCAAAGTGCCAAAATCACTTTTTATTCCCATCAGTAATGTATGAGGATTCCAGTTGCACCACACTGGCCAACCCTCAGTATTGGGAATCTTTTTAATGATAGTCATTAAAGTGAGAGTATAATGGTATCTCTTTGTGGATTTAATCTGAAGTTCCCTAATGACTAATGATGCTGAGCATCTTTTCATGTGTTTATCAAAAACTTTGTATATCTTCTTCTGTGAAGTGTCTACTTGAATCTTTTCTCCATTTTAGTTATTTTTTTCTTCTTACTATTGAGTTTTAAGAGTACTTTAAATATTCCAGATACAATGCCTTTGTAGATTTATGTTTTACAAATATTTTCCCCCAATTTGTGGCTTGACTCTTTATTTAATTCATAATATCTTTTGATGAATAGACTATTTAATTTTGATGATGTCCAATTTATCAACTTTTTCTTTTAGTTTTCACATTCTATGTTCTAAGAAATATTTGCTTAACTCAAATTCATAAAGACTTTCTCCTTTTCTTTTAGAAATTTTGGTGTAATTTACTTTTTTTTGTTTAGGACTATCATCCACTTAGAATTAATTTATGTATACTGCATAAGGTAAGGGTTAAGATTCATATTTTTTCCTTACAGATATTAAGTTACATCTTTATAAGACCATCCTTTCTCCATTGAATTACTTTGACAACTATATCAAAAATCAGATGATCCCATTAGTGTGGGTTTAGCTCTGAATTCTTAATTCTATTCCACTTCCTATTAACTTTTTAAGAAAAAACAACTGAATATGGTCACACACTCCTGTTTCTTCACATATCCAATCATCTTTGGTTAAACTGGGCATTACCTGTCATATGTTATAGGGACTCTGGATTCTGTTTTGTTCTGAAATTATTGGTTTTCCTGTTTGAATACATTGGTGAACTTGTGCAGAGTCAAACTGGAAAATCTGTTTCTCTGCAGAATACTGAAATTATTACTTAGTTCTTTTTTCTTTTGTCTGGATTTCTGGGAATGTCTCTTGCACCAACATGGCTTTGTGATCAGCCAATGATTTGTGTAGAGGTTATACACATGGATAATTGAAGTCAGTGAATTTTCCAATCTCTGCTGCCGAACTCATGTACAAGTTGAAGAATGTATTCAAACTTGTAGCAAATAAGTCTCCCAGGGCTTTTAATTTTGCTCATGCATATGTCATTTAACAGCCATGACTGAACGGAGAGCATATTACCTCTGCCCTTCTATATTTCTCTTTCTTCCAAAACTTTCTCCTTAAAATTCTAGCTGCTCTGTTTCTCTCCCAAACCAAATTTTTCCCAAATTGTAAAACTTTCCAAAATTTACCAGCCAATTACAACTGATAAACTTACAGATTTTTACTGCTAGATCTGACAGGATGGAAAGACCTTCAGGTAAAAGCATCTTATCCAATGCAGTAACAGTTCTTCATAAGTAAACATTTTCAAGTTCTTTGCTGACATGGTTTGTCTGTGTCACCACCCAAATCTCATCTTGAATTGTAGTTGCCATAATCCCAATATGTTCTGGGGGCCAGGTGGACATAATTAAATCTTGGAGGCAGTTTCCCCGATCCTGCTATCATGATAGTGAGTTAGTTCTCACTAGATATAATGGTTTTATAAAGAGCTTTCTCCTTCATTGGGCACTCATTCTTCTCTCTCCCGTCACCTCGTGAAGAAGGACATGTTTGCTTCCCCTTCTGTCCTGATTGGAACTTTTCTATGACCTCCCTATCCCTGTAGAACTGGTAGCCAACTAAACGTCTTTCCTTTATAAATTATCCAGTCTCAGGTATGTCCTTATAGCAGTGTGAGAATGAACTAGTATATTTGCCTTTGGTCTTTGGTCATTTTTGAAAAAGCTGTATTTAATAATTTTGTACAGTTTTATACTTTTTAGAGACGTGGTGGAAGAAATCACCCAACTACCTCAGGTAGTCATTCATGAAAGTAAAGTCTTAACCATATTTTAAGAATTTATGAATAGGTTATTTATCACAGTTTCATTTATCCTTATAGTAAATCAAATAAATTACGTCAAAAAATTAGACAACCACAGCAGTAACTTCTCATTTACAAACATTGGACTTCAGATTCAATACAGGGTTAGTAGAAACAGTCAAAAAATCTATAAGGTAGCCATGGTATTTTATTATTAGCTACAAAAAATTTAAGTACACAAAGAAAAAATATTTAATTTAGACCCAGACTACCTGTGCAAAAAAAGAACATTATGGGCATAGAATATCTATCTTCAAATGCAGAATTCATTCTATTTTTGAGAAAATTACCTTAAAGGCTGCTAAGCAGTGCAGACACAATAAGGCCATCACAACTGCCAGGAGGATGGTGGCTAAGTTCCGCATGTCCCATATGGTCTCTACCAGAGGAATACTGCCAACCTGCCAGTCATAGCATAGGGTCACAGGTGCAAGCAGAAGCCACACGTTGAAGGCCAAGAGGTAGGAATAGGTGAGGAATCTATAAAGAGAAAAACAATCACTGGAAAACTACTCAAGAATCATGACATTCTGCAAGCATTCAGTCACCATATTTTTATTAAATAGCATTTCTATCCAGTCAAAGTTATGTTGAAGGAGAAGACAAAGGAAGATGGAAAGCCAGTTACTCATTTATTTATTAAATTGATAGCTTTGGGATATATCTAACAGGTTCTAGCCACTGTGAAGTGATGACCTTTTAACAGTGAACAAATACAGATACAGTTTCTATGACAACTATTTTTAAATTATCATACAAATAAATATATTACAACCTGAAATAAATGCTATGAAGGAGAAGTCTGACAAAAGTCCATGACTAAAATGCCACTCTGTTTCAGATATGATTCCATTGACAAGAGACATTTGAACCATCCCTTCTTAATAGTGCCCAGAATCCTGCAGATTTGAAAATATTTCACCATTTTTATAATATACTGATCTATATTAAATTATTTCAAAAAATCAAAATATTTGTAGTATGGAGATAATATCACTTATTCACAAATGGAGGGGCCAGGTCTTAGGAGGAGGGAAACTGCAGGTGTCCTGGCTGACAAGGACATCCAAGTGGATGCAGGGACAATGGATAGGCACTAAGGTAAAGTGGAAGGTATTCTAGTTGTTCCCCTTACATTGAGGATATTGAAAATTGAAGTTATTTAAATTTATTCAGTCGGCACATTCACTAACCAGTGTTCTAAACCCTTGAGAACTGCACATAACGACTTTGTTCAAATATCTGCACCAGGAGACGACCACACTCTAGCATGGCCTCGGCATAAGGCTGTATCCCTAGGATGACCCCAGTCCCTCGTTAAAATGCCTACCTGAGAAATGGTGTCAGGAGAATTTATTCTTTGCTCTAATCAACACCTAACAACAGGCCCCCAATCTCCTTTTCTTACAGCATTTACAAAAATGTGCTTATGACTGTGAATACCTATATCTTACAACACAGAAGGATCTCCATCAAGGACTGGAGAGCCATTCCTATGAAATGTAATCATCGGGAAGGACAGGGCCTCTGTCTCCCAATCTCTGGAAGCACAGAATTTTAACTTTGATAAGTCTCAGGCAGCAGACACAGCCAGCCTAATCATATCTACAGGGACCAATGCTCTGTAAGTCTTCACTTCTCTGACACTCCTGAGCCCCCGACTCCACCTACTCCCTCACTCTCCCTTTGAAAGGCCCAATCACCTCTGCACAAATCAGAATGAAGCTCTGCTCCTTCCCCTGCTATCAGTAGTGATAGCGTAAAATCTGCATTCACTGCTTTAGTTTATATCTGACTGTGTTTGTCAACTTCTTTGGGATTAAACAAAAGAATTAGATAAATTCCTTGTCCTCAAGGAATGTATAGTCCAATAATGAAAATAGGACATACTGAATTAAAAAGGCAGAAGGAAACAGATGAATACTGTAAGAGTACACAGTGTGAAAAGAGGGTCTCCTTCATCTGTCAGGTTCTTTTAAAAGGAATCTTGGAATGGCAAAGATGTTAGATGAGATAATATCCAAGTTACTGTACTTTCCAGGATGGAGCATCAGTTCACCCCAAATTCCTGTCAACAAATAGCTACTGGTTTGGAACACCTTTTCAGATCTCTCCTCCCCTTCCCTCTTTTTCTTTGAAGGTCAATGGTGGAAAGGAAAGTCATCTACAGCCATCAGCGTGTAAGGCAGGGAAAGAGATTATTTACTGCTCAGGCTCTCAAACCCCAAAAAAGACATGGGTTGAAAGAGGCACGGATATTTCAATGATGTTCAGCTCTTTCCCCTCTGTTGTAATTTTTAACTAAAAGGTAATACACAAATAGGATAGTATATACTGAAAGTTTGATAAAGTCCAGGCTTTGTTATTTCACAAAAAAAAAAAAAAAAAAAAAAAAAAAAAAAAAAAAAAATGCTATTTATCTTTTAGGCTCAGGCCTGCAAAATCGTGGCCTGAGAATGCCATCTCCACAGAAGGTGATTGGATCATTTGGGGCTCCTTTTTTTCACAGAGCTTCCAGGCTGATATCATCTACATTTCAGTCCAGTAAAAATTCTTTATGACTTAGCTTTTCTGGTAAGTGGTGAACCATCAAACTTAGAAGAAAAATCAGGTAGCTTTGTCTCTCAGTCACACTCAGCTCTTAAAAGTTACTTTAAAACTATTTTCCTTTTCTTGAGGAAATGAAATATCTAGGCATGATCATCAATGGTAATGATCATCAATGACTGCTTAAATTAGTAAGCGAAAAGCTGATTATAATAGTTAGATCAGGCCAATTCAGGTATCTAGAAATAACTAATCAATTTTAACATCACTGAAAGGGAGATTAACAGCCTGACGTCCTTCTGATAGAAGTACAAACCATGTCTACGAAGTCAAATGAAAAAACAAAATCAAACCTGAACTACTCAAGTCCTAAATCTAATAATCGGTTCATATCAAACGCAGGAAACAATAGAACATGCCACATCACACCGCAGGGATGCAGTGTGCAAAATCCAGACTGTGGGAAACAAATGGCCCAGATTCTTAAACAAGTACATTGTAACTATGTGAAGAGAAGGAGGGAGCTGGCATCTGCAAATTAAAAGAAACTTAAGCGACATATCAATCAAAGTGCAGATTTTGTTTAGGTGCTAATTCAAGCAAACCACTATTAAAAATGTCCACTTAGGACACAATCAGAATAAACTGAAATGCTGACTGGATATAAAGAGAATTGGCTGGAGACAATCACTGTTAAAGCGTGATAATAGTATTTTGGCAATATTTTTTAAGAATATTTATCTTTTAGAAATATATACTAACATATACACATATGAAATAAGATGATGTCTAGGATTTGCTTTAAAATAACTAAGAAGGGAACATAAGTAGGTATGATATAGATGAAACAAGATGGCCAGGATTTATTATTATTGAAACTGGAAGATGGCATACATGTGGAGTTCTTTATGCCACTTTCTCTACTTTTTAACTAGGGAAAAAAGATAATAGAATTGCAATAGAAACACCTTATTTCCACCTACAGCTTGACTATGGAACACCCAGAAACACTATGTAGAATGTATTACTTAATTTTGCATTTACATTTTGTCCTTGCTCTGCAAGTTGACCTCAGTTCTTTATGTCTTCTGGATGTACAATACTATATTGACAAAAAACAAATATAATAAAAATTTTTTAGTTACAATCTCCACATAGTTATTTACATATTACCAAGAAAAAAAAAGTTAATTGTGCCTTTTTACACATTGTGACCCAAATAGGTTAAAAAAGTAAAGTAGGCCAGGTGGACTGGTAAGCTCATGCCTGTAATCTCAGTACGTTTGGAGGCCTAGGTGAGAGGATTGCTTGAGCCCTGGAGTTTGAGGTGAGCCTAGGCAACATAGTAAGACCTCATCTCTACAAAAATAATTTTTAAAAAACTTAGCTGGGTGTGGTGGCACACACCTGTAGCAGAGGCTGAGTTGAGAGGATGGATCACTTTAGCTAGGGAGGTCAAGGCTGGAGTGAGCCGTGATTGTGTCACAGCACCCCAGCCTGGGGCAACAGAGCAAGATCCTGTTTCAAAATGAAACAAAACAAAATGACAAAAAAGAAACACACACACACACAAAAACAAAACAACAACAACAAAGTAGCTATTTGGAATCACTCCAAAAGCTAATTACACTGGTGGTGGGGGTGGAGGGGATAGTTCAGCTAGCTGTAATCAACAGCTAAGGTATTTCTTTTTAATTCTTTCACTGTGAATTACATTGAAGCAAATCATCTTGTCTATTTCTGCTATAATTTCAGAAGAAAATAATCTGTTGAATATCTCTGTCCCGCTGTGTTATCTTTTTTAAAACAAGTACAAAGCAAAATGATTTATTTACCAATTTTCTACCACAAATTCTATGAACAGAAGGAAAGCCACTAGAATATCTTACCAACAAAATGGGATATACAGCACAGAATGCCAGCAATTCAGTTTAAACAATTTAGTCATGCATTTTCAATGATAAGCCAGAAAAGAGTAACGAGGTTTTGTAGCAGAAAAACATGAAAGGGAAAGGCAAGCTGAAGCTGAGGCTGGGGGTAAAATGGCATTCATTAAATGGCACCTAACAAAACTGTGTGGCTCTTCACATCTAAATCTTCATTTTTATTGAGAAAAAAATCAGAGCGTTTTAAGTGCAAGAATATACATAAATCCTGTTCTTCACCTCAGCAAAAACCTATCATCTGGCTAAGAAATAACATGAGCCTACCATTTTTCTTTGCCCTAGAAAGATGTTTATGATAGGTACATATGAGAAAATCATGTACTGCAAGCAGAAATATACAGTTCTTGTTTGTTTTATGTAAACAGTTATTGCTCATAGGATCTTTCTTTTACTTTCACCTAAAAAATCTTTTATCATTTTATAAATACAGGACATTGGGTCCACCATACATACTCATTTCCTCTTAGGAAGGGCATTTGCCAACTCTCAATATACCACCAATGAGGCACATATGTGCCAGGAAGTGCTGGATAGAGAAGGGCGGGGTCCTTGGCTAGGCCTTCACCCCATGCTTGTGCCCACAGACCTAAGTGAGAACAAGCACTCCTGTGTTTCTGCCCAAATGTTGCATTTTCCAAGACCACTCTGGCCTGTCATGCCCCCTATCCTGTGCCCATAAAAACCCGAGACCCTAGTGGGCACAGATACAAGTGTCTGGAGATCGAGAGGAACAGAGAAACAGAAGAGCACACTGACAGACACTGGCAGGACATTGATGTTGGAATGACAAAATTCAGCTGGGGTGAGCAATCGGCTGGACTCTAGGGGCTGGATCTCCATCCATCTCACTGAGGGCTACTTCCACCACTCAATAAAACCTTGCACCTATCCTCCAAGCCCATGTGTGATCTGATTTTTCTCGTGCACTAGGGCAAGAATCCAGGATACAGGAAGCCCTCTGTCCTTGCAATAAGGCAGAAGGTCTAA